ACATAACAATTTTAAATTAAAGTTCAGAATGAATTTCAGGCTTTTTATCAAGTTATACCCTGGTTAATTACTTTTTCACTGCCATTCTCAGTTGTATTTCTGTTTTGCATATCACAGTAGGTAGACATGTTTACAGTCATCAAAAAACTACGATAAACAGGCTGAAACAATCTGCAACACATCTGAACAATCTAAAGTCCTTTCAGGTTTCTTATCCACAGGAAGATCTGAAACAGTTTGCTCTCCATTCTGTAGTTTATTCGCATTATGTGTACAGTTCACCTCAGTATTTTTAGCAGTTGATACATGCTTATTTTCCTCTACTTCCTGAAAACCAGTTCTGATTTTTGCATTAGAGTTATAAAAAGAATCTGATTTTTTACAAACTGAAGTATTCTGTTTTAAAATCAAGTTTGTATCTGTTCAACTTGTATTATGAGACACACAGTTTGTGAAGTGGGTGTATTTTTTTGCAATACTAGAACCGTGTGCTTAAGCTGTATATCAGCTTCTTCTATCTCTGCATCACATGAATTTTCAGGTGGTTCAGTACTTGCTGTGACTTCGTAACCTCACTATCAGTTTCTAGCAACTTAATAGTCGCATTTTCACTTTCTTCCATCTCTACTTCAGGCACTTGAAAACCAGGAACTTTATTTCCATGAATTATTTCTTCATCTTTTTTCAGATGCTTTACTAGGCACTTCTTTTATTTCTTCATCTTTACAAATAATCATTTTCACTTCAGCCACTTGAGAATCAAAAGTTTTTTTCTCCATCTTTCATTTCTTCATTTTTTTGTTCTCCTTCTTAGGTCTTTTAAAGTGTTTCATCCTTCATTTCTTTAATCTTTCTCAGACACTTCACCAGCTACATCATTCATTTCTTCATTCTTTGATTCTTCAGCTGCCAATACTGTCATTTTCACATCTTCTATTTTGGCTTCAGTATCCTTTCTAAGCTCCACAATGTTGATTGTAATCTTGTTTTGCTCCACTTTCATCTGTTATAGCTGAGAATTTCACTGTAATATATTCAGCTCTTTTGGCTGGAAGGGGGGGGGAGTAAATTTTGATTCTCTTGATATTATAAATGCTTCATTATTTCATAAACAACTATTTCAGATTTTTCATCTTATAATTTCTATATCCCATTTTAGTAGATTTAAACTGATGATCTAAAACCCAAAAAATTCCGAAGTCTGGAATCACTGAAATCCTACTGGATCTCAGACTTGGTACTGTATCGAGTACTTCAAAACATTTTCCCTGTCTAATGTTCTGTATAAAAGTTAATCAAATATTAAAGCATGTCTTTTAATTGCAATAGAAAATTTTAATGTACAGCCATCAGATATCAATATTTGAAGGTACACAGAATATTAGTTTTCCTTAAATATAATAGAGTCAACTTTTAGCATATATTAAGTATGTCAATTCACTCAAGATCCATCATTTTTGGCTCTAACACTGATTGTGCATTAATAAAAAAATTATCATTGTACTCTAAGTTTGGATAGTAAGCTGTATCTGTTTGACCATGATACTGAAACATGCCTTATTCCTTTGAAATTTTCTTCTCCAGTACCATTTGTGGGCTGTTAACTGCTGAGGCTACAGTTCACACCTCATATAAATCAAGTGAAATAAATATCAGTTCTGAGAACAACTTAGCTGGTGCCAAAAATGGCACCTTAGATAGTGGCCTAATTTGCTTGCGTTTAAAGCTGCAATCCTGCTTAAATTAGAGATAGCAATTTTGGTATTGTTATGTTGGTTGCTCTAAACTTTGCACAGAAGTAGAAGCTGTGTGAGATTGTTGCAAAAGGCTGACACTAGCCATTTGAGAGAGTTAGAATCCAGTTGCTACAAAGAAATTTTAGATTTTATTCCAGCTGTGTATTAAATCAAAGATTTGGTGTCGAGTTTATACAAATGCAGAGTTTTAATATGCTTTGCATTCTGAATTAGATTGGGGGGGGGAACAACTTATTTCTGCTGTTAATGCCAAAATGAAAACTGAGAATGTAGCACTAAAGAAGTGTAAATAAGTATCAAATAATATTTAATCAAGTTTGTTTTAGAAATTTGAATCAAATTCAAATTTCTAAAACTGTAAAAACTTAAGCTAAATCAAATCTATAATTCATGCATGATAATACCTGTTTTTTAATTTGAAAATTTCCTCATCCTCATGTTAAAAATTTTGATTTCACATTCTTGGTGCATATAAAAGGTAAATGATTTTTAATTTTTTTTTCATCCAGTATTCCTCTTTTCTTTTTGAAAAGTATTTATTTTCTATTTTATAAAAAAAATTAAGTTAAGTTTTGAGTCTGACAAAATATGATATTTTATTTTAAAATTCAGAAAAACTTTTAATAGTTTAAATGAAAATGTTTATTTTCTAACGTAAAACTCCATATTCAAATGCTTGCAGTTCCAGTTTTGTAATGGTATTTTTAAACATTCTTTGAAAATTCTTGAATTTTCTTTATGTGCTACTCTGAACTACTGTTGTTATTAAAACAGGCTTCTGGGCCTGAAAAACAAAAAGTATTTATCACTGTCACACAATTCAACACATTTTGAATATATAGCAGTTTCAGCTACAGCTTGATGTACAATTGTTCTTGTGAAACATCTCTGTTACCTTTCTATACAGTCCTGAAATAAAAGTAGCATTCAGTGTTACTTTGGCATAGGTCATTAATCCATCCTCAATTCTTGGACTTTTACCAAACTAGATATATGCCAGACAAACCTGTCCAATAAGATATAAAGGGCAAATAATTTGTTCTTATTAAAAAAAACTCCGTTGTTATTATTATAATACTATCTAGCATTAAAATAAAAACAGAATAGGGGAAATACATACAGTCAAAAGTCGTTAATCCGGACTCATCAGGACTTCGGCGATTCCGGATTATCGATTTTTCCGGATTATACATCATCAGTTTAAGTCTGGTAAGATGGCATGCAAAAATTATAAAATTAAAAATATGAAACCGTAATTTATGAAATAAAGAACAATTATGATCTAAGGGTATCAAAATTTACAAAAAAAAAAAAAAAAAAAAAAAAAAAAAGAAGCTTTTGTTTACTTTATTAAATAACTCGTATCTTTCAATGCAAGTTGTTTAAGTTGCTTCGTTTTTATGTGATAATACTTTCTCTTTAATTCTATAAACAGTCATAATTTCTTGTTCAGTTACAAAGTTACGCTGTTCAAGTCCCGTTAATTGCTGTGCCGAGAATACCAACTAACTTGTCAATCGAAATTTTTTTGTTTTCAATAACCTCTGTGTCACTTTTTTCACTATCAGAAGCAAATTATAATGATGAGGAATTTGATTTAAATCATATCGAAGACGGAGTACATCGAGATGAAATACTGCATTTAGTAAGGAATTATAAGCCAAATAAAATAAAAACATCTGCCTTGAAGATAAGGATAGTGCTGACAGATCAACTTCCAATTCATTGCGCGCCGTGGCGTTTACCCCCCCCCCCCTACCCGTAGAGCAGCGTGAAATTGATAAACAGATTTCGGAATGGTTAGAGAAACGAAGGATATGCCTTTATCCATTTTTTGCAGCAATTCCACTTTTTGTTTAGTGGACTTCGAAACATACTTTCGCTTTTTAGATCCTTTACATATTAGTAAATATATATCGGAAATTCTATTTGACATAATCAAAAGTTCAAGCTTACTTTTATAAAATTGCTCTAACAGTCTGCAAAAAATAATAAGCCGGATCCAATTCGAAGATTAAGGAACAATGCAATCTGCAACATTAACTGAATTAGATAATTTTAGCTTAGTTTATACCATCCATTATACATTAATACATGCGCATGGGTAAACGTATTATGCGCATGCGCACACGCATATTCGCAGCTGTGTTGACGCATGCGCAGAAAGTTTGTAGCTTTGAGGTCCGGATTATAGATCATTCCGGATTATGGGTGTCCGAATTAACTACTTATGACTGCACTGTGCATAAATGAAAATTTACCAAATTTATTTATCTTTTCTGTCTCTTTTCTTCAATCGGGTCCTTACTCGGACTTTGTTGAGGTTCATCAGGTCATCAAAAATTTGTCTGAAAAACATTGCTTCTGCCTTTTGGAAATGTGCCATTGTTTGGTCATTGCAGACAATGCAGTTATGGCTTATTTGACAGCTATTTTACTGTTATCTAGATCAAAAACAATTTCTCATTATGCTCTAATGTCACTGATCTTTGTTTGGTAATTGAATTCACTCCTTTTGCCAATTTGCATCTTTGTTTTTCACAGTCTTAGGTATTGTTGTTCTTGGCATATGGTATGCGAAAGCTTAATTTCGAACATGCAGGGCCATCTTCATATTTTTCAACAATTTTTGTTTTCACTTCTATGTTGGTTCTAACCATTTTTGTCATTTCTTCACTCTCCTTGCTAATTTTCTTGAAACTCATTATAAACAAATTTACAAAAATTCTAGATAAAAGGAACACAAAGGCATGTGAAAATTCAGTTGTTTATAATGCTGGTTCTTTCCTTAATAGTAGCAGTAGGAGTATTGATGCTCATAGCATTGTATCAAAAGAGGTAAACAAGTATAGTGTGTGCAGTTGGACTCATTGAACTTGAATCATATTCCAAACAAATATCATATACCAAACAAAACTTTCCCCATCTAAATAGGGAGCATATCAAGTTGGACAAGTTGTATTTCAGAGAAGATGTATACTCAGGTACTACTGTATTTTCATATCAATAGGTGAATTTCTGGTAATTTTTAAATTTTTAATTTATTATGATAAATGAAGAAAATATAGTTTAATTCTGATACTTTTATGAAGCTATCTAATAGATTAATTTCTTGCTTGATTTTTAAAGAAACATTTTTTTAAATTTAAATATTTTAATTCTGTAATTCTTATAACAGTATTGATAGAAATGTGTATTTTTTTTTTTTTTAATTTTTAATTTTTATTTTTTTTTATTTTTTAGTCATATCTTTGGATCTCAACTTGATCTACACTCTGGAGGCTATGATCTTCTATTTCCTCATCATGCTAATGAAAAATCACAGTCTGAAGCATTTCATGGTTGTTCTCAGTGGGTCAACTACTGGATGCACTCAGGTTTTCTTTCTAGTTTTATGTACATTATTGTTAACCCATAGCGTCAAATTACTGATTATTTGAAAAACTTAAAATTTTTACTTGGATTGTCTGTAATGTTTTACTCAAATTTGCTGAAACATATAAGACTATTGAAGCACACATAGAATTATAATATTTATGTAAAATATTATTTAATTTCTGTACGTGATTTGTTGTCTTCATAAAAATGCCTGTAATAACCCATTTTTTATGCAAAAAGTAATGATTAAGCAGGAGCATATCCTAATTTTTCATGAAGGGCATGCTGCTGAACACCAAATTTTCAAAAAAATATGATAATGAATTCAAGATTAATTACATGTATTTGAAAGTTGGCTATAGTATTGGCATATTAATATAGTGTTAAATATCATGTAACATGCAAAATCATGAAATGCACATATTCACCAAATGTAAGGTTATAGTTCAACTTTGCTTGATTTATGTAAATTGCACTCTAATATATTTCCAAACCTAATCAGTAAATCAATTATATAAATCCATTGTTAATTCATCTTAGTGCCAGATAAAAAGTTAAATACTGGAATAGTTAATGCTAGTATTGGTAAAATCAGTGACTCGCATTTATGTTACGAATTCCCCTGGGTTTATTTATACATGGAAGAAATTTATTAAAACATTTATTTTCAAACTCAAGGGCTTAAAATTTTGGAAAAACTGGAATTAGAAAATGGAAATTTTTCTGCTTTCAAAAAGTTCGTAAATTATTCATTCAACTTTTCACATGTTTTCTTGACATATTACAGTCTTGCAGTACAGGTTTTACTTTTTCTGCAGTACGTATTCTGTTGGGAGGGGAGGGGGAACTTTTATTTTATTTTATTTTATTTTTTTTTGTGTGTGGACTGGCATTTTGTGACATATGACTGTGCTTTTGATGGAAACAAACTGAGAAATTGCTGTTACCATTATATGCCATTCATATAATTTTTTGACTGCTATTTGTAAAATCATTCGGTACTATTCGGTTTCGAGGGCCGTAAAAAATCGTCAAACTATTGTTGATGCCAATGCTGCCAAAAATAATTGTGGCAAGAAAGGAAGTATAATAGTAAATAACAATCTAAGATTGATGTTTTAATTTAGATGAAAGGTTAATTTCATATAATACTTTTTTATTATTATAATTTATATGAAAAAGACTAAACATGACTGAATGGAAGCATAAGAGTAAATAACTATTTCAGATCATTATTATAATTTATATAAAAATTGCTAAACATAACTGAATGGATGCCTGCATCGCTATTTCGCTGCCAACTTATCGCTAAAGCATAATTTCATCTCGTTGGTTGTTCAAACATAATTTTTTATAATGAATGTGAGGGTGACGTCTTATCATCAAACAGAGATCACACTCACGATTCAAAGTATCATGTTTTATTCCTGAATTATAGAAGAAAAGATAAACGGAATGAGTATGTACAAATGGATTAAATATGTTTAGGAGAGTAATCACACTGGTTCCACTATGGAGATGTAAAAGTCACAGCTGACCACCTACGTGTGGTCACTTTAAATAAGTTCCAAGTCTAATCGCCTACGCGCGACCAGTAAGCGTCTAGTTGTAGCTCTTTTGCAAGCGTTCTGTCAGACCGCTTCTCTCGGACTTCTTGAACCAACTGAAGATCCTGGAACCTGGAGAGTTCCTACAGAGTAATGATAGATAGCGACATCTGGTGCTTTGTTGAGGCACGATTCCCACACAGTCGGCCATCGACAGATGAGGACCTTCAAACACTTGAATACATCTGTAAAACACAAAATAAAAAAATAAAAAATTGAAAAATAGTTTTCAAAATGATCTCAAGTTGCGATGTCATCAGACCAAAGCTTCATGTGGTCTACCGAAGTGGAAGTTGCTTCAGGTCCTTCATGAGATCCTACTTTGGCTACATCATATCGATCATATGGCTTAATCTTGATCACTTTATAAGGTCCTAGGCATTTAGGTCTTAGCTTGAGACCGCCTCCTAACTGGGTTCTTTTAATGGCTACTAGGTCGTTGACTTTGTAGAGTGGAGCGGTTCTACGACGTCGATTGTATTGTCATCAGTTCTCCTCCTGCAGTTTTAAGATATTCGCTTTAGCCTCTTCACGAATAGACTCTTTCTCCTGGATGGTGGAGATCAGGAATTCTTCATCGAGAATTTCTTTAATTCTTTGGTCTGCCTTATTTCTCATTTTCATGCCTGTCATCAGCTCGAAAGGAGTGAATTTCGTTGATCTACTGACGGTGCTGTTGATGATTCTTTGGACGTCAGGCACAAATTTGAACCATTTGGCAGTATCATCTACTGACAGTTTTGCAAGCACTGGGATAAGGGTTCCACTGGGATAAGGGTTGGCTATTGGAACGCCTGTTGTGATTTGTATGTGCTGAATTCCTTCATCTTTACAGTATTCCTCAAAGTCCTTTGAAGTGAAAGCAGATCCCTTGTCAGAGATAATTCTGGAAGGATTTCCGAAGACAGCTGTGGCTTTTTGGATTTTTAGTTTCTGTACAGCTTCTGCCGTTGATGTTGTCTTGACTGGGTAAAACCAGACAAATTTTGTAAAAGCATCTACCACTGTGTAAATATATGTGGTATCTCTTATCTGTAGAATGTCAGGGGGTCCTACAAAATCTATGTGATATAAGTGCTTAACAGGAATATTGTCCTTGGGATTGGGTTCAATAGACCTTCCGCTTTGCCTCGCTTTTTATTACAGAGGATGCACTCGACACAGTTCATTATAACGTGGTCTATTTTTTCTTTGTAGCATTCGAAATATGAAAATCTCTTTTCAACAGATCTTCTGTCTTTTGTACAGCAAAGTGTCCTTTGTTATGTATGCCACGGAATAATCTCGAATTCCATCGCTTCCGGCACAACGATGAGTTCTTGACCTCTCTCCTGCAGGTACAACACATTATCTTTTAGCAGATAGTCATCTCTAAGTCCTTTCTCGACCAGAGTTTTCAATAATTGAAGACACTCATCAGCCTGTTGCGCTGTTGCGATCTTAGTAGTGATTTCACTTTGCAAACGATTGACCATGCACACAGCATGCCTACTTAATGCGTCGACATGTCTCATCTCTTGATTGGGTCTGTGGATAACTTCATATTCGAACTCTTCGAGTAGCAGTGCCCATCTAGCTATCTTTGGTGTCAGATCTTTTTTCTGAATTGTCTTCTGAAATGCATCGCAGTCTGTGACTATTTTGATTTTTGTGCCTAAGAGATAACTTCGAAATTTTTTCAAGGCTTCAACGATCGCTAGCACTTCAAGTTCATAACTTGACATTTTTTCTTGTTGAGGTGATGTTTTCTTGCTTATGTAATGGATAGGATGCAGCTGTCCATCATCTGAGCGTTGAAGCAAAACTGCACCGAAACCATGACGACTAGCATCCGTGTGTAATTCCAAAGTTTTTCCCTGCTGAAAGATGTTAAGTACAGGACTTTTGCTCAAAAGTTCTTTAAATGGTTTGCTTCTGTGGCCCAAATTCAAATGCCTACGAAGCTTGATAATTTCTGCAAGCATAAATCTTGCTTCTGCATCCCAAATTCAAATTCTACACCATTGCGAAGCATATCACTCAATGGTTTGGCTATTTTCGAATAACCAGGTACAAATTTTCTAAAATAGCCTGCGAGACCTAGGAGGCGTTGCAATTGCTTAGCGTTCTTAGGTTGAGGAAAATTTTTAACTGCAAGGGTCTTATTTGGAGATAGACGAATTGTACCTTCTTCAATTAAATAACCGAGAAATTCAATTTTTCTTTTAAGGAATTGACATTTTTAAAAATTAATTTGTAGTCTAATTTCTGAAGCTACTTTTAAAACTCGTTTAAGTTTTTCTAATCCCTCATTTTCATCACGGGAAGGTATGATAAAATCATCCATGTAAATTACAACTGTATTATCCCTTATTAATTCCCTGAATACATTATAGATAAATCTTAAAAATACACTAGGACTGGTGGTCAAACCAAACGGTGCTCTTAAAAATTCAAATAAACTTGCATGACAAATGAATGCTAAATATTTGGTACATCTTTCATTGACTGGAACGTAGAAAAAGCCATTTTTCAAATCCAAAGTTGAAAAAACTTTCGCTTCCCCCCAAATGATCAAGTACTTCCTCTACCTGGGCCATAGGGAAAGAATCTTTCACTACTTTTTTATTTAACTGTCTGAAGTCTACGCATAATCTATTTTATCACGTTTTTATACGTTTTATCACGTTTCTTACATAACAGAATTGGAGATGCGTATTCGGAACAAGATGGTTTAATTATCCCCTTTTGCAACCACTCGTCTATCTGTTTATCAACAATTTTTTGCTCAGCGAACGGTAATCTCCAAGACCGTTGCAATACTGGAATATCATCTTTTAACACAATATTCATTTTTAAATTTGTGTCCTTAGTTTTATTTGGATCGAATCAATTACGAATCAATAATGATAGATCCTTACAAATGTTCACATCAGTAACATACAAGAAATCCACATCACATTCGTCAATCACATTTGCAAAATTTAATAAAAAACACTCTTGTAATGATGATTCACTTTTAAAATCATTTTCGGTATCAGGATTAGATGTTTCATTTTTGTCTTCCCGACTTACTTTTAGAAGTTGAGAATAAATGTTTGGTGTTAAAATTAAAGGAACAGATAATTTATTTACGGCTGCAACAATGATTTCTAACCTTGGTGAATTGCTATTTAAAGATAATCCTGCTCTAGCGACATCTGCCTCTTTTATTTCATCAAAACATGAGCTAAATATTATTTTACCATCCAGTGGTGTCTTTATTTGAATGAATGATGAATTTATGACCGGAACTTCAACGCCTGAATCGATAAGTGCTTTTATTTTTTTATTTTCTACGAAAATATCAGCATATTGCAACTCGTGAATAAAACTGATGTTATTCACTTGTTTTGTTTTTTCTTTCTGTTTCC